GGCATTTCGTTTCTTCTTTTTCCCATATAGAATTTAATCACGGACTCTGTGTAGATGGGTAGACGTTTGTAGGGATTGATCACAACACAGAAGAGACCGGAATATGTCTGAAAAGAGATTTTGTACTCGGGGCCAGGTTCCATCTCGCCGGCGGTGACTCACGTAGATCATCATGTCCTTGTATCTGTCTTTAAGATTCGCCAAGACAGAAGCTTCGTTCAAGAAGGTCAAGTTCGCCATGTCCTCAGTTTTGTCGAATTTTGGAGGGTTCATTTCTTGCGCCTCATCTTTCTTCACTGTCACCTAGAAAAAAATCCATCAAGTGAGCTGCATCAGGTCGTTACAGTAAGCCGAAATGTACGTCTTACAGTAAGCGACCTGCTCCTATGTGACTTCCCCGCGGTTCCAAATGGGGCTTTCGGAAAAGTGGTTAGAGCTTGTCCAGAATACGGTATGTTACTTCTTCGTCCCGCCAGAGGGTAATATCCCCACTTGGGAGCAAGGTCAACCCTAGCATTGGTCTTTTTTCAAAACTTTTTTATCCCACTCAAAGGTCAAAACTTTTTATCCCGCTCAAGGGTGGTGTCCCTACTTGGAAGCAGGATCAACTTCAGCGTTGGTGCCTTTCCAAAGATTTTATGCCCTCTCACAAACAAATGTTCTCACGCTCGCCATTTCATGCTTCGATTTTTAAATTTTTCTCACACGCCACCAGAAACCCGTCAAATACGACCCCCTCTTTCGCAACCACGACCCCTTAAACTACCATGAATACGACTCCATTTTCGATCTGTTGGCATCGCCATCTCCAAATGCGCCCCCAAAATCGCAATGACGACCCCCTCCCCCGTAAGATTTTGACCAGCGGACGGCTGACGCTGCTGGGGAGTTTGACAAGGGAACGTTTCTAACCCCATTCTGCCAACCCTTAACAGTACCCCTTCAATTGTAAGCAATGTGTTCAAGCTTCTTAAACCTATATGAGCCGAAATTGTCACAATGTTACAACCTCTTGACCATTCAGGCAACTGTTTAATGCCGCTGCCGTTCACAGGTGGTCGATCCGGCCAGCCAAAAGACGAGAGTTTTTCGGGGAACATATGCCGCGCGTGCGGCGTTGAGGTGACCAATGACAGTGATGCGCGTTCGGTTTAGTTTTTGCTTCAGCAGCGATCGAATCTTATGTGAGTTTTGCTAGATAGCAAATAAGTGCACTCTTGTGCTTTGAACATCGCCTGTTCAACGAAAACATCAGTCACGCTGAACAGTGGGCCTTCACTCGCCCTTTACCCAGCCCTATACCCTCCCACTCATCAGCTGACTACTTCTGCCATTTGTTGTTGTCACTGGAGTTGTTTGGGTCAACTTCTGCACAGATGAAAGATCGAAAAGTGCTTACCGAGTTTCCTTTCGCGGTGACGACAGTGACCTGATCGCCTTGTACGGATTGAATTTCAGCGGCGACGAAGCCTTAACGGAACATTTATTAGCCCAGTATCTATTTTGGCCAACCTAACCAGGCCTGTCCAGGCTGCTGATGGGCTGCTACAGTTCTTGTAGGCCCAATTTGGTCTTGGAGGTCCGACATTACCCAAGGGATTTCCCAGCGATGCGAGCGCTGTGTGCTGTGATTGTGTGATTGTCTAATCTACGAATTCCACAGCTTTCGATTTGAATGGATCGTCGTGGCTGTGAGCTCTCGGCCAGTTGGTGAGATTACAATGCCCCCACAGCGCCTACGCGATGTGGTGTACAACGCGGTTTTTATAAGCAGGGGATAGAGTGCGAGAGGGCGCGTCGGCAAAGCCATTGGTGCTGTTCAGTCTGAAACGATTATTCTTAGAACGAAAACGATCGACGGGGATGGGGCTGAACTCATAAACAGAGCGCCAATCATGAACGCGCATTCCAGCGCGACAAAAGTTCTCTGCAATATCTCTGGATAACCCGGATTTCGTGGTAATTTCAGCAGGCGCGAATTTGAGTGGAAACCAACGCTTAGCGCGCTTGGACTATCCAGAACCTTCTTTAAACACTGAAGGGGTATTCCAAAGAACATTTGCTGCTTCCCGCGAGCATAGCGCTGGTTTTTGATGAGAAACAGAAGGATTGTTATTAGAAACAGGGGTGATAAGCGCTGCTGGTCGTAACAAAGCTCTGAAGCTTCTCGTGACCATGTGGCCTAGCCAGCCGATAGTGCGCGATCAACAGCCTCTTATGTTTTTCGAGCAGGAATTGAAAAACAGCTGAACTGCGTCATCGCGTCACCAGTACAATACCGCGCCGCGCCTTCCGGATGATTCTCACCAGTTTTTCGAAATTGCTGCGACCAGTTATCAGTTACAAAAGAGAGCTGATTCAGTGGGTTCAAAATCAGGGTTCCCTAGCGCTCAAGTGGGTGCAGGAATTGACTAGCTAGGACCGGGGCCGATGTTAGAAGGAACCTCAAAGACATAGCCCGATTGGGTTTTCGAAGTCCCATAATCTGGCTATTCCCATGTGAGCGAATAACTTATCGTAAGTGAATATCAGAGGGCGAGAATTGATAGTTCAACAGCCATAACATTACAAAATGGAGCCTGAGCCTCGGTTGAAACTTTGAGCTCAAGTGACGAGAATACGGTAGGCAAGTAGAGGGCTAATGGTTCAATGTAGAATTTGAAGGCTTAAGAGCTTACCATCTTCTGCATCTGGAACCCAGACGTTCTTCTTGGAGTCAAAAGGCCGTGAAGCAGATTCTGCTCTCTGCTCACGAGACAGACCAAGGTATTGGAAACCCGGATCCTTTTCAAAGTCGCCGTTCGACATGGCTGTAACGATCAGCTTAATGCGCTGCTGCACACTGTAGTAAAGCACAACGACGTTACGAATTCAACAACAAATCGGAATATTGACAAAGTAAGGGGGGGGGGGGAAGACAAGCATCTTATCAATGTCCCTAAAAGACGTTTGACCCTAACCCTAAGGTTTGATCCTAGGTGTTAGAAACTGTTGATAAAGTAAACAAGAAGAAGCCCGAGTATCTTCTCAATGTTCATAAAGAGAACCTTAACGTTCGCCCCTAGTTGCTAGAAAGTTTGACCACTAAGGGCCTAGTGAGCTAGAAGCCCAATAGAATGTAACTAGAGGCTAGATAGGAACGCCACAATTGTTGAATGGTTGAATGGAAGAATGCAGATGTCAAGCTACCAAGACATCGGCCTCGGCACTGGTTATAACTGCTGGCTGACCGGAGGGTGTGAGGAGGGGATGTGGGCGATTCGGGGCGGGGCAACTCCGCACCCGTGGGCTGTGATCGCAGGGGCATTCTAAATCCGTAATACACTGATACCGGAGTGCACATTGGAACAGAAAAAGCAATAACATAGCGTTCGCACATACCTTTCGTTCCTCTCCCGGGTTTTTTCTACATGAATGAATTCATCCATATCAGATTCTATGACAATCCAATGATCTCTTCTTCATTCTAATTATAGTAACTGATAATTACAAAGCTTTTAGTATGTTTAAAATATGATATCTTCATCTTCTAATGTTGTAATGAGCAGACACTTTTGTGTAAAAGTCGTCGATGTTTCTTTAGCGCCATTTTAGCTCTCGTTCTTTGAGATGCTTCGTACCTCTGGGCTGAGGGTTCTTGTGGAGGAATTCTAGAGAAGATATGGTCCCAGCCACACATTTTGGAAACCATAGCATGCCTTCGAAAGAGAAGGAAGGCAATTCAAAATCAAATATTTTCTGAACGGTCTTAAATTTGATGATCTTTTCTCGGGCAACGTTTACGAGCTTGGAATGTCGCTGAAATGGTTGGGATGCGCCATGCGTATGCCACTTTCATGCTTATTCATAACATATCGTAAAAATTCTGTAAGGCCGACATCCAGGGTGCAAGAAAGGGTTTGGCGTTGGTGTGATGTCGACTGAGGATGAGCCGTGCATTTTACTCTCCCTCACGGTATTCTGATACGAGCTGGCGCGTTTCTTGTGCTTATTTGTTGACCCGAGCGGAGTTTGGTTCTGCATGCATTTCATCGTTTAGAGTTATGTCGAAGCCGAATAAATAAACCGCGAATGCCGGAAGCTTGTAGGTTTCTGATAATGCATAGACTCTTTTGCTTAAGGGAATCTGCAAATGAATGCCTGTTTTGATTCGCCTCCCTAACCGCGTTAGCCCTGACAAGGGGGGCCCTTCTTCCCAAGGTGATCCGCGTTTTTTTTCAGGTAAGCTCTTTTCCTAACTGTGGCACGCATCGTAGGAAAACACGAGATCATTGTTTCGTTTCGCTGAACGGCATTCAGAAAGTACAAAAAGAATCGTTAGGTGCTGTTAATAGTTCGATCCCCGTGGCGGCTAAATTTCGCATTGGGGCATGATGGTGCTAAATGGCGCTACAAGTAAAAACCGTACTCATGGTCAGGATCATACTGAAGCCAACAAGTGGCCGCCAATCTTGATTGCAAAATTTAGTCGCCACGAGGATCGAACCATTGGGAGTATCATTCACCTACATTTTTTAATACTAAAACCGTTCAGAGAATGAAACATGGTTTTCATGATCCATACATGCGTCCCTACAATATGAAGGGAACCGTTTCGAGAGGCCTGACAAGCCCCGTGAGCTTGATGAAGTTGATCTGAGACATAACACATAGATTTCTCTCTTCAGTTCTAGAGAATAGTGTACAAATGAATACTCTAATATTCAGTTCGAGCTCGTGGGTTTTTAGCGGATGTTTTGGTTCCTTGGCTAATGTTTCTTCTTACTCCACGAACTTCCGGGAGAAACACTTCTGTCGGAATGCACTACTGGAAAACGTGCTCGGTGATTTTGCTGATAATGAAGTTGACTGGCAACAATAGTAAAGTAGATGTCCTGAACAGCCGGTCCTAACCTCGTTCTGTCAGCGAGATATTGTCGACTGTGAGAGGACAAGATTCCAAAGACCATCACATTCATCATGTAGATGCACTTCTACGGATTCGATCGTAGATCTGTTTACGATGAAACAGCCGCATTTCTCACGGCGACTTGAATCAAGGATACGAAAAACCTTCAGAATGACCAGGAAGCTAATTCTTGTAAAGGCTATGGAATGAAATTTATTGGGTGACTGTTCGAAAGGTGAAGTAACATATTGAGTGAAATTCGCTTTTTAAAGCATTTTGGAATAGGTTTGCCAAATATTTCACCACGCCTAGTAACACTACCGAGGCAAAAACGTGGTGAACGCAGAACCCTTTTAACGGGAAAATTTTTTTTCCAGTTAGTTTTGCGTCTTTGAGGATTTCCTCACCTCTTACGATCCTCTTTCTCACAATAAATCGGCTACCAAACCAAGTTTCCGCCACACCTCTTTGACCGCAGGCCTTCTATGTGGACCCGCGGACTGGTGAGCGTTTTACTAGGTTCTTGCCGTCTGTTTTATCAGTTACCAATGGCTTATAATAAGTTTTCTTATTATTCAAATGTATGTGGAGTTTTGTGTGCCCGAAAAAGCTGACTGATGACTTTATGACTTAACAAAATGCTATTAGATCAAACATGGCTATCCTTTCCGTGTGGAGTGGTGTACTGCACATGGTGAAACAGCGCAGTGGATTAGTTGAGGTCTGCTGGTCGGAAGGCGACGGTTCAACGACTAGACAGACATTGGTCGCATCGGTTAACCCCGGTTGCACAATCACCATGACCATGTCTCTTTTGGCTTCGTGGCAGAATTGCTGCCAAAAATGTTCAACAGCATAGGCATGCTCTCTATAAGGTCCCACTCACAAATATGCTCAATGTAGTTTGCATCTGTATTTCCTGATTGTGCCATACTTTTCAAAAAAAAACTCATTTTCTTTGGCAGTATGATGCTCTACGGCATAAACGGAAGCAGCCCATTTTCTGGCGCTAAATAAGGGTTTCTTTCAGTAAAGTGAACATATAGGCAGCTACGCGGTCCTTAGAATCCCCTTGTGAGATCACTGGTATTTGGATGAATGCATGCAGTGAAGTATGGGGTTTTGTTCTGATAATTGCTGTTTTCTTTTTACTCAAAGCAAAGCAATTCAAAAACTTTCGGAGCTTTCATCTTCTCCCTTCGGCCTGTGTTGGCTCAACGATTCATGAATTTATCCGTACGAATGTTAACAAGCTATGGAAAACGTGTAACCACTGAGAGATCAGTAAAGGTGAAACATGGCTAAGGGGATGTAATGGCCAGCAGTCGTGCCCAGAAAGCACAATGGCCGGGTTGGAGTCCTGGCTGAGGCAAGGTGTTCCCTTAAAACTCAGCATCTTTTTGGTTCATATTGACTTCCTCTGTACCTTTTCATATTTTCCAATCCACCTTTAAAGGTCATGGAATTGCTTTCAGATATTTGCCATGACTTGGGTAAGCTGTTACCAATAAAGACAAGGTTGTACTCTGGGATCTAGAGAATTGTCGAGCGTTATCCACAAAACGATCAGCGCCACTCAAGCCTCACTCGCCGAGAACTCAGCGCATTATCCACAAGTAATGACGCTTTTTGCTAATGATGTAATGGCTCTTTACACCGTCTGAATGCCGTCGTGTTTGAGAGCCGTTCTGAACGACATCGCGTTGGCTTTAGTCAGATCACTGCGTGATAAAATGTACAATTTATTGATACAAACATTCTTCAATTACCAAGTTTCTTGAATTATAATAATTGCGAGGAGAATGGCAGAGAAAACGCTCTGTGGGAGACCTATCCCTCAAAATTAACCTAACTCGACTAATACCCTACAGGTACAGGCGCAATTAGACCTTCAGAAAGCGCATTGTGGATGAGGTAGAAGGCTTTTTCAGGCATGAGAAGTAGTGGCAAGTCGCGACTCTAAAGATGTGCGATAAGTGCTAAGATTTTGCTCGACCGCTGCACCGCTGCATTTTTACCCATTCGCGATTACCACAAATTTGATACCCTAACGCACGCTTCCCTATGTATTCTCTCTCTCGTTAGCTATATACAGCTATCCTTCAATGATAAACCTCGCGGTAAAAAGGAGGTATTTATTCTGAGATTTTTCTATTTACTACTTTTATGATTTTTCCTACTTCACAGGTCCCATCGATCATTTTGGTGCCATTGGTTCACCAAATACATTCGAACCACGGTTTCAAGTATCCATAATGGTGGACTAACTATCTAGAATTTTATGTTTATGTTTATTACGCTGCTAAGGCAAACGCAGTAAAAAAAAACAACTTTCTAAAACCAACGTAATAAGCCGTACAACACAAAAGATAAAAGCAGTTGACATGCGAATAAAAAGACCTATATAACTCATAATCTAATTTGAACCCAAATGTTGACAAGAGTTATGGAATAAATTGATCAGTCTCAGAAAACTAGGAAAGCTCATACTTGGCTAGAACCACTGTCATGTTTTTTCAGAATGCTATTTCACCTAAAAGACGCTTCACTGCAAAATGTTTGTGGGAGAACTTCTCAAGGTTCCGTGTTTATCCCAAAAAGGTGTTCCTCTTATGTTGGTTTAGAATTAACATGGGGGCTCATGCGTGATTATTGATAGGCACCAAAGTCATTTCGCTGAGCCGGAGGATTTCTCGACATCAGCACGCGCACACAGCTGTAACACTTGTGTTCCAAGAAGGTCGGGGAGGCAGCAAATCAACACATCAACTAGTGGATTCCACCGACACCGTGTAAACGGCAAAAAGGGCGCAGGCGTCCACGCAATGCAGAAACCAACCAGCCACAAGCCCACGTCCAGGTGTCTAGGTATCCAAGCATTTGTGAGCTGGAGGGTTGTAGCCGACCGTTGTGCTCTTGC